CGGATCGGATTGGATCGAATCGAATTGGTTCGGATTGAGTCGGGTCGGGTGGAATCGAGTCAACAATTTTGCTCGGAATTGGGTTGGGCTCTCTAAAGTATCTAGTAATTCGAGATTGTTAGAATTCCTGTAAATTTCGGGTTTTTCAAGAATTATAAAATTACATAATCTAAGATATGAAGCAAAAATAATAATGAAATATGTGATAGATATATTTAGAATAATATTTCATAATAAAATATTCCTGCTCCATGTTCAAGCCAATACTATCTTATAATTAGCGAGAATTCCGAGATTCTTGGGAGTCCCGGCAATGTCTAATTATCTAATATTTCTGAGAACACGACTCGTCCCAAGCATCGGCTTCCTGACATTTTTGGGATCTCAAACATTTCTAGATATTATATTCGCTTCAGTATCACTTTTCGCTCATGTTCTAACCTTTATAATTTTATAATTCACGGGATCCCGAGTCGCTCCTGAGATAAATTATCGACTTGACCTAACATTTTCGGGTTCTCTCAGGCACATCCGTGCTATGCACGAATTGGATAAATTAGAAAAATTCCAAAAAGCCGTATGTCACTTTTCTTATCGATAGAAATATTGATTGAAATGCATGAATAATAATGTACATACAAGGTATCGTTGATAAGGTAGTCGATCAAGTAAATATTGATTCTACAAAAATAAATCGGGGATATAGAATAAAATCTTTTTGTCCGAGCCTTTCATTTCAAGAAAAATGTGTTTGAAAATTTGTCAACTGTATTTGAACTGGACTAATCCCGGATTGGACAGAAGCGAATAATCGACAGGAAGTTGTTATTCTATATGTGGAATTAAGTAAGAATTGTATAATAAATTTTTCTCACAACACGTTCTGTTCTCGAGAAGAAGATTTATCATATTTATCTGACGATTTATCATACGCCTGCACTAGAGCAATTCTTAATATGCTCAAACTCTATTTTCTTGAGAATGAAACTTTAAACAAAGAAATTTTATTCAGGATATATTTTTACTTATTTTCACACGTTGAATAACTTCTCACCAATTGTATCTATACTCGAACCTAATAAAGTTTATTTTATAATTAGTCACATCCGAAACTACTTGACAAGCAATCAAACTCTATTTCCCCGAAAATGAAGCTCCGGACAAAAAACTATTATCCTGCATTATCGACTTATTTTTGCACGTGCAACCATCCTCTAATCGACTGACAACGTTTTTGCGGAATACTCTGGATATACAGACATACTATTAGATTGCCCAAAAGTTTCGTTCGCTTTATAAGCAAATAATATTTTTGGCTTTATATTATTCTATTGAATGTTATATATGATTCATTTTGTTCTACTTCTATTATTTTATTGAATTATTGCTTGAATTATCGCACGTCAGCTCGTAAATGAAATTATCGCCTATATCGATGATAAATTATCGTACATCGTATATATAGTTATGTATACGTATATCCGTATACATAATTGTACAACTTTCGACAGAACTCGGTAGCATGTAATCATAGTGAAACTCGTACAAACATGTTTTGTATACATCCGAGATATTAGATTAGATTGTCTCAAAAGTTTCTTTCCATTTTGTAGTAATAGACAAAGTGGATCATACACAATCCAATAAAATAATATAAAACAAAAAATATTATTGCATCTATTATTTCCTTATAAAACGAAAGAAACTTTTAGCGCAACCTAATATTACACACTACATTGCGACGTAATAATAGAATCCTAACCTCCACCGATTCTACGAAATATTTTAAGCGACCAACAGTTACCTTCTGTAGTTACTTGCCACATGGATAAACATTTGTATGAAATATTTCCTACAAATTACTGTGCTTTTGCAAGACTCAACGCGTTTTATAACTTTATTAGACAATTTATATATATGTGTGTAAATTCTATAGAATTCAAACTACCCGCCAACCGACATTTTTACTTTTGCTTTATTTTACCGGCAGTCATTTGCTGAATAGAATAGATCACGAGAGAAGGATGGTAATTTAAGACTTAGAAAATCGATTCCCGATTTTTCAGATAAAATTTGTGGTAGATTTGTTATCAACTATTATTGTATTTAATTTAATTATTCCCAAAATAAACTCGATTTTCCAGAATCGATTGTCTGATCTAACCTAAGGATTTTCGTTATTACATATATATAATATTTTAGGTAGACAAGGGACGATTAGAGGGACTTCTACGGTAATTCTGTTGTAACTTTTGTTATCGATAGAAATCAACTTGATGATAAAAGGTAAATGGTAATAGCAGATCCAATGATTTAAGCAAACAAAGTATGTATAAAGCAAACTGTGGATAACACATGAAGCATACAAAATAACAATAATTATATTTTAATATAATTATTAAAATAACGTAATAAAATTCAATATAATAAAAATTAGTATAATAAAAGTATTATATTAATAATTATTATTACGAAACTTATACGTGTATGAAATTGTTAAAGAGCAAGTATAATTTAATTTAAAAGAGATGTACAACTGTGGGGATATTATCAATTCTATACCTTCCGAATTCCAATCATAATGTTCTTGGCCATAATTAATCAAGTTATCAATATTTTCAACTTCGTCTTCCACTAACTGAAATTCTACTGGAGCGCTTTCATTTCGTATTCTGTTATACCTGAAATATATTATTTGTTTAAAAAACAAACTACATTACTAGGATATACTATTATAGTAACTATTAAATATCATTTAAGTATCATTTAATAAATTTTGGAAAATACCAATTATCGTAAATTTGTTAACGGTAAACATGTATATACAGGGTGTTCCGTTGAAGTGAAACATCTTCCGTTGAAACGTGTCACGAGAGATAAGAGAAGTTAGAAAGAAAATATTCTTATAGAAATTATTTTGTGACGATAAAAGTATTAATTTAAAAAGATATTTTGTGGTTGACGTAGTTGCTGTTTTTAAGTGGCACCATATCTTTTCGTTAATATTACACTGGCTTTTGAGACAAATTCAACAACCTGCTATTCGGTGGTATTTCGTGTAATGAGTGATAAATTGGAGTCACGACAGTCAGTAAATGTCGGTTAGCTGAGTCTGACACCTTCACGTGCCATACAGTTGCTCCTCGCATGGTAAAGATGCTAACGCTGGAGTGAACGTTAAAAATGAAAGATTATTCTGCTAGATGGATAATTGATCAATGATCGATTTTAATTTTCATTATCTACCATTTAACTTTTAGCGCAACGTTGGAAGATGCCGGAAGACACTTTTTACAAACATCAGAAACTGCGGTAAAATTACAAATGTTACTGAATTAAATAATTCAAACTTATCAATGCATTGAATCTCTAATTACTGGAATCACAAGAGTAATTTAAATACAATGTAACTGAGTTACAATTTGAATCTCTGAAAAACTGAGGCGAATTTTTATATTTATGAATTATACCATATTCATCATTAATAGTAATTTTTTTCTGTTTGAAACCTTTAAAAAAAACTGTGATCTTTTCCTCCTCTCATTGTTTCTCAATTTGGATATCATTCAGTGTATTTCGTAATTTTATTTCAACTGCATTGCATTACGTAATTATATTTCAATTGCATCGTATTTTCTAATTATATTTTAATGAGATTGTACTTTGTAATCGTATTTCAATTGCATTGCATTTTGTAATTATATTTCGATTACGATCACGAATTACATTGCAATTTAATTAACCGAGAGATCTAAATTACGAAATGCAATGTGATTGGGTACGACGTAATTAAATTTGTAATTGTAATTTATGTAATGTTTAATTCAATTATTAATAATACACAAACGTATTCTAAATAATGGTGGCCACATTGAAGAATAAGGTATATAAAAGAATTATTAACAAATTTTTCTTACTTGTAACAATATTTGTTTCACATACGATTTTTGTAAGAACATATTTTTTATAACTTTGATTTCTCGTCAGATATTCCAGCGTACTCACTTAAACAGAACACTTTGTACACTGTATCATCGTTATAATTACGATTTTTAATTATTTAGTCATTTGCAAATCAAACGATTTTTTACTTAGGCCGATAACATGATATAAACCTATTACTACTGAAAATAAAAATGTATAATATGCTATTTAAAAAAATTAATTGAACAAGAAGTATTCCATACGCTCATCGCCAAGAAAAGAACTTATTACTGGAATTCTACGATTACCACAATTCTCGGTAACTTTCATAAACAATATTTTCCCTGAATTCTAGAAATATCGGTGATGCTCTGAGTGGACGCAGTTGCTATTGCCATATGTTATGGAATTCCCACATCTTTAAGCCTATTTCAGTGTTCATAACGTTTGCCCCTAACTTCGTGACTCTTTCCTGTATTTTATCGCGTAATTCATCGATTTACGATCATTTTTCATACAAAAACTTTTTCATTTTGATATTCAATATCTTGGCTTATTACAATTGCCCACACAATTCTAATTTTTTTAATCACCTTAATATTACGTATTTCAACTGCTTTTACACGGTAATAAATGTTTAATACGAAGCTGAATAAGAATTTGAGTAGCAAAGTGGTTGAGTATACTTGAAAGCGATGTAGGTTAATTTTTTATGTGGGGCAGCCATCTATGGTACGCTCGTTGAGGTCCCGAACTGGAGACGACGCGTCACGAGTTCGAATCCTCGCCCTGGTGGATATATCTGCAAAGAATGGAGACAACACCCCAGGGCCGTCGCGATCACTCGCAGTTGATTACGGTAATCTGATTCACTGTGGAGCTTTTAGCCGGTAAGAATCCGGCACTACCTTCTGCTACCACCCTGTGTCCCCCGCCCCGCGTCACAGGGTGTAACGAGAAGGTGTCTATGAAGATTTCCTCCACGTAAAAAAAAAACTTTTTTGTAGTATGAAAGGAGTGCCTTTCGGCGGCACTTACCGGATTTTTTTTTACGAGGCTATCCGCTCCTTCTGCGAGCAAGTTATGCTCGTAAAGGAGCGAGCAGAGAGGGAGAGAGAGAAAAACTCTCACCCTTGTAGGGTAACGCGGCGGAGGGTTAATTGAACTCGAGCTGCGAATAACAGGGAGGCACTAGGAGCAATGGCTTTCCCTAGTGTCAGATTAATCAACTAGAAAACTTATAGGATCGGCTCAGTAAATAGTCTTACGAAAGAACAATGGATTGACTTCAATCGCGCCATCTGGTGCTACGAGCGTGAAAAACTGTTGTAAACAGACGATGTAAAGGTTCGTGATCATTGTCGTTTTATGTTTTACATTTTACATTTACATTTGACATGATGTCCTACACGTCATTCGTGTAATCGCTTGTGTGATAATGAGTAGTAATTCGTGCAATAAATCGTGTAATCCAACAGCTGGAATATTAACACTAAGCTTAGCAGGCCTGCTGAAATAACGGGTTTCAAAGTTTATTTAAAAATTGTATATTCGTTATTATTTCGTTTGATCGTTTAACTTTATGTAAATTCTTGTATTCTTAATAATTCTTATATAATAATTCTTATATTATTTTCTAGGTTTACAGACATTCCGATTACGTCGAATGTGGTATGATAAAATATATTCTAATATGATAAAATATACCACGTATGTAGCAAACTTCGAGGCTAGAAAGTTTCGAAGGAAATGAATTTCGGTATATATCTGTCTTGTTAAACGGAAGATAGCCAGCAAAAATGGTAAAAGAAAAATATAAAAGGGCTAATTTTTCTCGTGAACTTCGAAATGCGTCAAAATGTCGCGTCACGTAAACCTGGTGTTAACAAAAATGGAGAAATTGATTAGTCGGATGATATAAGAATTTACATAAAGTTAGATGATCAAAAGAAATAACAATAAATGTATGATTTTTAATTCAATTTTGATTCCGGGGCTGGTAAGGTCAGAAAATAATAATATATATAATAATGATAATAATAAGGTTAAGAAATTCTCGAAACGATGTACGATTACTAATGTATGCTATTTGCAGGTGCAAATTGTATAAATTCCATAAGGCATTTATAAAAAGAAGAAAAAGAGAAATTGTAATTTAGATTATGGAACTCCGATCGTCATACCCGTTGTATTCCACAATTTGTCCATTTATAACGTATGTTTCGTCATTAAGAAGCTCGCCAACACGTTCGAGGGTAAAATAACTGTTAGCGCTCGCTAAAGAGACGCACATTTCTTTCGTGAAACACTTTACAGTCACGCGTGGTAGGAGAAAAGAATGGGTGAAGTTTCGTTTCATCGACTGTCTCAAATTCCTATCGTATTTGGAAAAGAGTAAATTGCGTATCGTACAAAACATCGCGGTCAAATATCTTCCAGAAAGCGACTTCGAACTTCTCAGCAAGAAAGCTGTCTTTCCATACGATTACCTAACATCTTACGATAAACTGTGCGATACACGTCTGCCCACGCACGAATCGTTTTACAATCGATTATGCGACAGTCACGTATCGAAGACAAATTATCTCCAACGCGGTCAACGTTTGATCACGTTTTCACATCGTGGAATTGTATTTGGGAACATATAGCGACTTGTATCTAAAATTAGACGTATTATATTATAATATAATACATATTACAAATATGAGTTATATATGATGTGTATTGTATTATAATATGTATTATATCCTATTATATTATAATATAATATATTATTATATATTAATAAAATATGATATATAATGTATATTATGTTATATTATATTATATTATTGTATATTATATATTATATACTGCATTATATGTCATAACATATAATATAATAATAACAATAATATTAAATATTAAATATTATAATAATACAATAATATATATGATATATAATTATACAGGGTATTTCCTGCTTCTCCGGTAAAATCGTAGGAGCATGATTTACAAGTAAATATAAGAAAAGAATAATATAAACATAACAAATATAAATGTATTTATATATATATAAACTATATATATAATATATATTAATACTAAACGTAATATATGTAAACAAAGAAGATATATATTTACATGTATTCTAACAATAATACGGACATAATTTCAAGCAGAGAACCAGCGGACGGTATTAATCTACATTGTCTATGGTCTTGCCTGGCAATTTCAAAATTAGATTGTGAAAAAATGTTGGAAAATGTAACATTTGATTTCAATAAAATTCAAAGAATTCAAGCCGAACTATAAGATCACGATAAAAATTTAACAATTGACTGGTTAGCTGTTGCGAGCATTTTGAAAACTTTGAAGAGTGCGTACCTAAAATTTAACGCAAAGAGCAAGCCATGACGAGTATATTCATCAAAGACAGAGCATGTGTGACTGTAATAATATGAAATTAAACTGTAACGAAACGACTGTTTTATTTTTTAATTTTATTACTAACAGTGCTCATCATAGCACAAAATGTTGTACCATTTCTTCATGACGAGTATACTCGTAAAAAACAGCTACCTGGTTAGGAACTGATGTTATAATAGTGTTTATTGCGCAGCAAAATGAAAGTTCTTCTTTATTTGATCCCATTCAGTTGTGCAAATTTAATGATAAATTATATCTCCTTCTAAATGCTTAGTTACACGAGGAACGAGACCTGCTTACAATCCGTGAAAGTAACCGATAATATTCCGAATAACCAGGCAATAAGTAAATGTGATTGCAACAGCAAGCATAAGACACCAACGGAATGCGATTCTTCTGATGATTACATAAAGATGAAGAATATTGATGTTACGGCAACAATGAACAAGAAATTAATTCAAATATTTGGTAGTTTCTACATATGTATTACTGGAAAGATTATGTTGTGATCGTTCCAATTGCTTCCTCTTTTCAATTCCAAAATTCTTTGCAATTTGTCTACGTGGACATTAGACAAATTCTTACGTTTAGTATTGAATTGAATATCACGTAGACGATTTCTCCATTGGGAAAATGTCTACAGGCGAATTCTATCTTTCTATCAGATCTACCGGATGATCTCTCTGAAGTATTCTCTGGATGGTTATATAAATTGTTAATCAATGGGATACTATGAGCTTTTATTTTGCTTCTATAATTTACCACCGTTTTGATTTTTTTTTTCGTCAACTGTATCAATATTAACAACTACATTAATATATAATAAAAAATAATATATAACAAACTATAATAATAAAACGATATGAACCACTATAGCAATATTAACAACTACGTTGTTATATAATAAAAAATAATATACAATCAACTATAATAATAAAACAATGTTAACAACTACAGCAATATTAATAAAGATGTCTTTCACTAATATCGTAGAATTGGTATAGGTTCTTTTTTGGAAAAATTTAAGGAAGCACGAATTTATGTATACTTTCACCTTCTTATTTGTAAACAATTTACAATCCGAATCTTAAAATGCTTGTCTGTTCTAATCGATTGAAATTTCATTAATAAATGAAATTGCATAAACATTTCTTTTGAAAGTGATGTAAGTTTATTCCTAAATTCTTCTCATCACTAATGATGAAAAACAAATGATGATGAATGACAACGACGTAATATTACACGTATGGATGGCGATTCAGTGATACGCCCGTAAATTATTATTACATTTCAAGTATTATCGAATTAATAACAGTTTCACATTTGCATCAGGTTGCTGTCGAAGCGTAATCTTAAGATTGAAGAAGATGTAGGGATATTAACACGTTATTAAGAATTTAATGAACCACGTAGGGTGCTCCTCGGCAAGGTTTGTAAATTTTATAAATATTTTCGTAATTTCTTCGATATTTCGTATTTTGTAAAATATTAAAATTAAACTCTGTAAATATTTTTTGATCTGCAACTTTAGGATCTACGAAGAGGACATGAGCAATTTAAGATTTTTAGCTTATTTCACATCCAATAGCGATGGACGTGGCATAAGCCCGATATCTCCGAAGAGTATGCTGTAACCATATTGTGACGATACAAGTCGCTGAGATTATCTGAACTGGAAGAACAACACGACCTCGCAAGAAAATCGAACATCTCGCAGCCATTTGGTTGGCTACCACCCCGTTGTTACAAGAAGAAGACGCATCAAAAACGCGTAGAAGAGTCGTCGTGACATTCGGCGTCGATCAGATAATTAATTTTCTGACAAAAATCAATCAGCGTGTGCCCCGAAGTTATACCGGGTTGTACTGTATTTGTTATAATAATTATTTTCTGCACACAACCGAGTTTATCAGAAATGACCAAATTATGGGAAAATTATTCGTTCGCATAATACAAGACTTTCTTTCCTAGTTGTGCAACGGGTTTGTCAACAATCGCCTCTTCTACATTACAAAAATCTCGTATCTATTGCATACATACGACTAGTTCGCTACGATGTCGCGTTACGTTACGTAACATTTGTCGTGATATCTCATTTCGGGATCTTAATAAACGTCCTAAACGTAGGTGCAATGGACGTTCACCGAGAAAATACATTTTCCGCGTCATCAGTAGCTACCCCTCTCTGTCCTGCAAGAAGGATTAATGAAAAAGAAAAATATGAAAATATGTGCGTGAGAAATGCTGATTTCTAGACCAGCCTGTATATGAATTTCAATTTATACAAGAACAAGATAAATATCAGCGTGACAAAACGATAAAGCAACAGTGTTTCATGAAAACCTAGTCGTCAAACATAAACAAAGGGATTCAGACGAGGCGAAATCTCGAACATTAGGAGACAAGAAATATGTAGAAAGCTAAGATAAGGTAAGGTAATGGATAACGAAACACAGGGCATATAAAGTGTAAAGAAAGTATTGAAATATAAAACTATTTTAAGATAGTGCAGGCCTACTTTCTAAATGTGAAATTATCTATTAGATTGTCTCAAAAGTTTCTTTCGTTTTATGAGGAAATGATAGATGCACAACATTTTTTGTTTTATATTATTTTATAGAATTATGTATGATGTATTTTGTTTTATTACTGCAAAATACACAATTCAATAAAACAACATAAAACACAAAATATCGTGCATCTATTATTTCCTTATAAAACGAAAGAAACTTTTGGAACAACCTAATATATGAAAATTGATCAGATTTGCACGAAGATACAAAAATTGTAGATAAAGAACGAAAAAGAAAATACGAGGAAATGCATTGAAAAATATATACGACAAACATGACCACATCAACACTAATACATATTAATGGTGTTTGAACAATTAGTTATACGAAGTACCTGCTATTAGCGAGCTCAAAATTTTGGATAGAATTAGTCTGTAAAATAAATATAGAAATATTTAATTCACAAATAATTTGGTAAATTCAATAGGTTTCAACCAGGAAGGTTTCAAGCTATTACAGGATACCAAGAGAATACCAGAGAAATTACATTTAGAATTTGAATCTGGTAGTTTCTGCACTTGCATATATGACTATATATATTTATATAATATTTATACTATATGTATACATATATAATAATATAAAATAATAATATAATAAAAATGAATAATATAATATAAATATAATAATATAATAATAATAATATAGTAGAATAACATAAAATATACTTTATATTATTATATATATATATTTATTATTTTATTATTGCATGTATTAACCAACTACACGTGTGTTTTCAGTACACGTTCAGAATCAAAGATTTTATAATAAGCTATTTTATTGAAAGATATCCGTCTATTGTAAATGATAAATGATAAATAAATAAATGAAAGTATAAATCTTATATATATTTACTTTTATATTGTCGCGATGCTGCCTTTTGTTTCTTTGTTTTTTTGTTCTATTACATTTCAAGACTTGTGCACGACTGTTACAGGATGTTGTTTCGTCATAATAATATTTAACAGGACTTTATCGATTAGGGCAAATTCTATCGCTAATAATAGTTATTGATTTCAATCTATGATTTGATTGTAAATAAGAAGGTTGATAAATATAATTTTCTATCGAATGAAAAGTTTCTTCGAAACACGCTCTGTTACAATTTATTATGGTTGTCATGGTTGTTAGTAATTTGTACTAACGAAAACTGTACTATTTGTAGTGATGAAACAGAAACTTCGAAGCCGAGAACTTAATCGAAACCAAAAACCAAAACGATATTTTCTTCTTCGATAACTACTGTGTGCAATGGAAATGCAATTTTTCTCACCGATAACTGTTACGATCTACCGAAATAAATTTCCCTCGTCGATAATGGTAATCGAGAATGAAAAATACTTTTCGGTCATTTACAATCATTACTCGCAACCAAAAACATTTCAGTCGAAATGGCTGTTTTGATTTTGGCCGTCACAGTTGTGGCCCCTAATTGTAAATTCTCTCACTGTCACTGATCTAATAGTATTATGCAAATACCAAAATGATTTTCAAATGTCTCTTCAAAAAAAGGGGACATTTTACTTTTCTGTGACGTATAAATTATGAATGAACTGTATAGAAGAAAAAGAGAAAGAAAATATACGCCTCAAATTGAGATATCTTCCTTCTTTTCTATATCTATATATCTATAAAAATAAAAGCATGACTTACCAATTCACTATCAGATTGAGATTGTAAGTGCTGATGAAGAAGAATTGTGATTTATTATAAAAATCTATGGCTTCTTGAGGAAGATCGGGAATCTTCGCAATTATCATATAACGAATCTCTTTCAAGGCAGTTTTTAAAGCAAAGTCGAAATTCGTTTCCAGCAGTTGATCCTCTCTAACGTTTAAAAGAGTTTTCGTTAAGTGAGTTTCCCAAATTTCTGGCAATTTCTCCGCCCAGGCGTTAAATATTTCTTTTTCCTTTTCGTCAATAATAGCCTTGAAGAGATAAATATAATCAACAGATGATAAATATACTGTACCTTCGTTATTTATTGTATATTCTGATCAATTACAAATTATTGTAAATCAATGAAAAGGAGATCTTAGAGAAACACATAAGGAAATATTCTATCCATGACAAAATCAAGTAAGAAGAAACAGTATTGTAAGAAGAGATTGATCAAGTTCAATGCAAGCTTTAAACGTACTTAAATATATATTAACATTTATTATTATTTTATCGCATATTACCTCAAGTTCTTCGTATTTGTCTTTGAGTACGTTTTCCATTTTGTCATTAATTAAAGGATGGTCAATTAATTTCATGCACTCAATTGGGAGAAGAGTTCTCTTACGAAGTCTCATTAAAAAACACAGGGATGCACTCACTACAGGCAAATACGAATTCAGTGTCGAAAGCTCGTTGTCTTTTCCGGAATTAAAATTCTTGTCGAATAACACCTACAAGACAAAATGTTTGTTATAATTGGCAACTCGTAATATTTCTTATAAGATATTAACCCATTTACATGACGCAATTGTTTATTTCTTATAAAGAATTGCCACTCTGTTGCAAATGAATTCTAATTTATAACTGATTTAACTTTATACCATTCTGCCCACGTGCCTAGTTCTTATCACTGCCCATTAACTATAGTTAATGGTTTACTAACTTAAACGAATACTTACGGACTTGTAATTACCCTAATTGTTTCTTTATAATGTCACTGGAGAATCGTGCAAGGTATATAATTATATTTTTATTTCGTTTATCTGTTATCTTTTTGCTTGGATGAGTATGTGGATGAAAAATCGTTATCGAGTCGCGTTAAGTGCAGTTTCCATCGTCTGAAGTCTTCTTAAATAATTTTAAGAAGAAACTTGAATGGAATGTAGAAAAGTGAGTCTGGTAATGGTAAAATTAACTAAATTTTAACATTCTTTTTTTCAAGAAAACGGATCAATTGCAAAGGTTCCTTGAAGATTTTTGGTCCTCATTGTGCGTAGGATGCGGTGCAATAAAAAAGAATTTAGCCTTGAACTTCAAGTTCAAAGTCAATTTTATGACAATCTTCTTTTTCAAATTTTCACCGATCCAGAGACACTTACACAAATGTTTAAGACAGTAATAACAAAAATGATAACTTTCACATGTATAGTATTGTTATATTCCATTTGTAATATTTTCTTCCTAATTTTCTCTGCATACAATTTTATGTAATTCTATAAGGCAATATAATCGCATGGCAGACTGAGAAATATGGTAATAAATGTTATTTCATTGATATCTTTCTTAAAACGAGATTTCGCTTTTATTGTTATCGTTACATTCTCTCTCTCTCTCTCTCTCTCTCTCTCTCTCTCTCTCTCTCTCTCTCTCACTTAATATATTTTTTAAAATCGTCAAAATATTTTCTAACATGTATTATTTTATATTACACCATATTAGCATATTAACACCAATCTCGCCAGACCCGGTCAAATGAACGGTTTCAAAATTTAATTTAAAATTGCACATTCATTGTTGTTTCTTCTGTTCATCTAACTTTATGTAAATTCTTATATTATCCGATTAATAAATTTCTTAATTTCTGTTATGGTGAAATTATGAGCCTTACATCACCATATAACAATATACCCATATGAGAAATTATTGAAATTATTATCAAGAACGTTTAAGCTTTACCTTATAAAAAACTACAGTTCATTTCTATACAAAATACGAATAATTTCAAGCCATTTTTGTTAAAGCCAGAGTATTATTGTTACTAATTACAAGTAAAAATTAATTTCTTAATATAATAATATATAATTCAGCCCTACCTTAAGGTCACTGAAGTGTTGATCTACTCTTTGAATTATTTCTTCATAATTGTGCCATAATTGGGCCATTATTATAGGTCTGTTGGCAATTACGCCCATTATCCAAACGAACTTAAAGAACGACTCTAAGTTGTAACATTCAGCAAATGCTTGGTCGAAAATGCTTGCCAATCGTCGATCAAACTGCTCTATCTTTTATTTCAGGAAGAATTTTCATTGATTAGTAAACATGTAAAGTAACAGGTAAATATGTACTAATCTACGTAATTATAAATGTAATATACAAAATATGAAAAAATATATCAAAATATTGAAACAAATGATACGTATATTTAATAAGAACATCAAAATCTGTGATAGAATTTATTATATTGTTATATGTCTTATTTAAAAAAATTGAAACTTCATTGAATAGATAAATTTAAGAAATTCTTTATTGCTTATTGTACTATATGGAATAGTATAACATGCGACTGTATCAAATAATGATTGTAATAGACAATTGTAATTTCAAAATTATAATTGACACAACTGATAATACTTCTAACTGGACACTCTATTTATTAGTATTATTAAATATTACTGGTAAAATATTCATAAACGGCATATTTCTTGATAAAATTAAAACTTGTTTGTTCAATAAAATTATGTGCCTACATGGATTTTAAGTTATTAAACTTAACTAGAGAACATTCAGAAGCTAGCGAAGAGTTTAGTGAATAAATTGCTTACCGAGGCGAAAAATTCATTTAAATCTGCAGTGAATTGTTTTTCTTCTGGCATTAAAACTTCATAAGACACGTCTCCAAATTGTTGGTACAATTTAATAAACTCTTCGTAAATATTATTAATCATGGAAAGTAGTGACTTCGCTTTTAAGCCGAACATTTCTATTCTTTCTAGTTTCAAATAATCTTGTACTGTATCAAATAATGACTGTAATAAAAAATTATAATTATAAAATTATAATCGATACATGCGACAGATTAATATGAGATATATATTATAAACACAAACTAGGATATCATCAAAAGTGGAACGTAACTGAGAGATTAAGAAAAAAATAAAGTAAAATTTTTTTCTAATTAAATTTCTCAATTGCGCATAAAATTTTATATGCAAAAACATTCACGAATCCTCCTCATAATGTCCTATCTTCCTCCTCACAATATTATCTAACACTCTAGAACACATACTTATAATCAGAATCAAGGAGATTTTCAACAGTAAACAATTAATGCCAGGTCACCAGTTAAAATCTAGAGAAAAACATTCCACAAGAGCACAGGCTAATTAACAAAATTGTAACAGCTCTGGAAAGCCGTAAATACTGCACATGCCTATTTTTAGACATAACACAAGCGTTCAACAAAGTCTGGTACGAAGGTTTGCTGAAAACCAGAAACAACATTTGTCAGATGCAATTGGTCAACTATTAAAACCCAAATAACAGAACATTCTACGTAAAAGAATAAGAGATTTGAACTCAGATACGCAAGTAATAAGCGCTGAAGTACCACAAGGAAGTGTGTTGGATCCAGTATTTTACACTTTATACACAGCAGACATTTCACCAACACGAAAAACTGTAGCCTGTATATCCACTGATGATACCGGAATAGTAGCAATGCATGAAAATCCATAGTAAGCAGTTAACATCTCACCAAGCCATGTAGATGCACTGAAGCAATAGTTGGTAGAGCAGAGAACAAAGGTCAATTATAATAAACATAGTCGTATTACCCTCCAGAATGAAGATACTGCAAAAATCACACTTCACAACAATGAAATGCCAAAACCAAAGGTGGTCAAATACCTGAGACTCCATTCGGACTCAAAATTAATTTGGAAACAGCACGTACACAAAAGAATACAGCAAGTAAGAATTAAAAGAAAAAACACTTACTGTTTAACCAATCGTCGCTCGAAACTTAGTATAGAAAACAGATTACTAATCTATAAAGTCATAATAAGACCAGTATGGTCATACGGCGTCCAATTATGGGGTACAGTGGCTAAAAGCCATATTGCTAAAATGGAAGCCATGCAATCAATCGTACTTTGTAGAATAATAGACTGTAATATACAATACTGTAATGTACAATAATAGTGAAGAACTACGCAGAGATCTTCAAGTTCCCACTGTAAAGAAAGAAATTCAGCGGGTGTTCAATAAATACAAAACAGCAACAATGAGTCACTGAAACGCACTAGTCAATACACTGTACACTGTCAGGACCGTTAGAAGACTGAAAAAGAAATCACAGTACCAAGTGACACGAGGTCAATTATAAATACATTCTTGTAATAGTGCTAGCCCAATAGAGTTAGCACCCACAAGCTACCCTTAATAGCTGAAGGAACCTGCCGAATGTTCTACAGGGCAAAACTCTACCAAGGATTATTTAAAAAAGGAGGAAACATGCCACGTAGAGCAGGTTACAACAACGCATTTAATTGCGATTGAGAACAATCTATTTACATTACTGAAGTATTATAATAAACGAATGTTGAATATTAGTATGAATAAAAATAATTATGTACACATTATTCAAAGTTTGTGAATACAAATTATTCGCTTTTACAAGGATGTTGCGATGAAATTAATTAACAGATCAGACGACATACGTTAAGTATTGACACACAGAGTTAGTGATAAATAGATAAGCTAATATTATACGTTACATTGTAATATTATAAGATACACACAAGTTAGGATTTGGGTGTTGTTAATATTATTATCTAATGGAAAATGTTCAAATAATAATTGGACGAATGATTTCGAGGTGGATACATTTTAATATTGCTAGTTTTTAATTCGGTTCAATTCTCAGCAAGAATTTTTCTTAACGATCAACGATATTGCTGGGAAAAAGGTGATACAGTCTCACAAGCAGTTAGATTTGAAGGATCGCTGCTGTAGTATGGCGGCGCAAGCTTGGCTAGGCGCCAAATATGTGACACTAAGAAGAGGATGGAAAAAGTTAATGAACTTCGTTAAAGACACCATACAGAAAGAAGCGGAAGATAATACGGCACATGTAGAAGGAACTCTTCCTGCATTGAATACAATACCAGGATCCGGTGATTGTGACAACATCGACGTGATGGAATGGTTGCAATGTGATAAGTATTCTTCGATTGGCCGTGACACTAATGTTATGTGTGCTTCGAATAATGGATCGAGACACGAATATAATGGCAATGATGATGTTCCTTAATGTTTTGAAGTATTTGAGGCCTTAGAAACCACAGCTAAGACGGACACACACGAGGAACGTAAATTTGCAGAATTAGATCTGCTAAAAAAATTGTACAATTTTTTTAGGGCTCATAAATCTCCAATCGAATCATATTTAATTCTATTATTTGTATCGGTATTATTGATATTTATGTTCTTTATTTAAATATGTAAAACAATGATGAATTTTCAGAGATTCATTATCTGCTTTGTTGCTATTACAGTTTATGTTCTTTTTTCAAATACATGGAACAAAAATGAACATCTTTTTGAAGACGAATTATCAGGAAAGTAATTGTATTATCCGAACACCCTTATGCTCCAATTAATTCGGATAACTGAGGTTCTCCTGTCCTATTGGAAATATTACTTTCATGTATATGTCTGAAGCTATATGTATTTGTGAAATTACCCAAGACATTGACCTTAACATGTCTTAACATCATTGAAATTAGTAAGACGTGTTCTGTTCCATGTATTGTACAATACAAAAATGTTTACATTTTGGTAAAACTGTTACTTAAAGGAACCACCTCCAGTGACCTTCACAGCTACTATCAAGGTTCCGAGTGACCTTCAGAAGATTTCAGCCGTAGCTCTTTATTTGTTAAAAAATTATTAACAAAATAAACAATGGCAATATATGTAGTATCGTGGATGAAAGGCCTAAGAGATATCGGGTGAA